GAATGTGGTTGAATAGTACATGCATATATATGGTTGTCTACCATAATTAATATAAATAATGACTAGAGAATTTAATAATTGAAATAGATAGTCTGTAGGGTGGCTATGCATTTCACATTGACAGATCGAACCGAGTTCATGTGAATGCGTGAATTAAGATTGATGTCGTCATGTTGCTTTTAAAAGTGCCCATCGTAACTGACCCGCCGATTAACATATTTGCACGTTATAGGCATTAGACTGTCAAACGGTCAACTGTTGCCAGAAACCACTGAATAAAAAAAAATTAAGAACTGATAAGATACAGGGAAAAGTATGGTATCAGTACCGAGAGAGCTCGTGCAGCATTATAAGAAGCGAAGATTTACTTAATTTTCTTGCGACTTAATGTAATTTCTCCGTGAGAGTTTAGGAAACATTGATATTATTTATGAAACAACCTGGCAACCATTAGCTTTCGGATTACACTGATTGAGCTTCAAACATGCATTTAACAATCATGTTTTCATATGCAACGAATAAATAGCCGACAGTGTAGATGAATAAACGAAAACAATGATCACACGGGGAATAAAGCTTGATATTCTTGAGAAAGTTACATCGTCACTATTCACATGGGGGCATGGTTTTTATTTATTGTTTTGAGTCAATGATCCAAAATTATATCCAGGTTGGGACATTATCGATAAATAAAGTTAAGTAATAAGTCCAATAAAAAAGTAGGCCAAGAAATGCGATTTGCGGTGTGTTAACTACTTTAAGTAGCAACGGTCTATTCCATCAATTATCATTTAGAGTTACCAAACCCCTAGTTAGAAAGCCTTTTATCATACACAGTAAATTATACTTACCATACGCAATTAATAAATCATTTTTTCCTAATACCGAGGGAAACATGATGTACGGATTTATATCAATCAATATAATTACGCACACGAGATCAAAATTGCACTGAATGACGTATCAAACAGCGGTCACTTTGACACTAAAGCAACAATTTTTGGTTTAATGACGCATTAAACAGCGCTCCAACGAACCAAGTCTGCGCATTGGACACGCGCGCTACATCGATCGCCGCCACCTCAACATGACACTATGATGTGTTTACCTTTATGATACTATGTGCAGCTAAAAATAACCCTGTATTTTTCCAATTCTAATATTTAGATTGCTTATGGCTAGGACTTTAGAAAAACATTTCCTCGCATAATTCCTCGCATAATGCCTTTCCTATAATCATATAAACCATTGGCTAATAATTAGGTATAAGAGAAGAAAACTATTTGCTTTGGTCTTTTATGTATCATGATGACAGCCTATGGTCATTAATTATTTAAAAGTGGTATTCAGGAACAATATCCAAATCCTCATCTACATTATAATACGCTGATTTCAATGTCTAAAGACACAATGAAAAACAGAGGTCCTCAATAAAAGTCTTGGATTCGAAACCTATCGGTCTGAAAACTGTAACAAAATAGATTATCAAAGCCTCAGTCTCAATAAGTGAATATCAATCCAAATTACAAGTTAATTATGGGAAAAATAATGATTTTTACGACGTTTTCCCTAAACCAGTACCCTTTTCCTTGACCACATGTTGAAGATTACGTACTTGCGCATTCCGTAGCCGTCTCTCAGTCAGTAAATTTTGTTTTTTAGCGCTTTTATATGGAACGCCAAAATTGCAACTTTCATACACAGTAGATTTTCAAGCGCACTCGTTTTTCAGGCAAAGTCGGTTATATTAACAAATACATTCGATTTTCGTTCGGTGAGTTACACTAAAACCTTGTTTTAGCTGATCCTCATTAAAATAAGTTGTACTAAATAGGCCCTACTGCAAATCATTTTAATTTAATTTTAATGTAAGATTTTCGTCAAGCACAGTCGGTTTTCGGTTTCTCACTGAGATACAATGTAACTTTGCTTAAGCTGCCCCTGACCAAAATATGTTAGTACTGTAGGCCCTAATGTAAATTATGTTTATTTTAATTTTAAAGCAAAAACTTTGTCAAATGAAAATGGTGGAGAGAAATACAAGATATTTCTCCATTCCAATTAACACTACTGATGTTGTATACCAATTTAGTGGTTTTTAAATATTTTTAAATGTTATTATGAAAAAAACGATATAAGACTGCTATCAAAACCTGTACTTAAACGCAACGTTAATTGTCTAAGTCCATGAAGCATGCTTTGTAAATCAAAAACATGATCTAACCACTGCTTTTCTGACATTACGTAACTAAAAATTAACTGAAAGAGATAACATGCAACATTCAATCTATATTCTTTTAGTAGTCATGCTGTTCTTTTTATCGAAACTAATCGTGCCGTTCACACACTAGAGGGTAAGCTGGCCAAGTGAGCGCGCCCTCCAGTATATAATAATTTTATTCATCTGCCCTTAAGAGCACGTTAACAGCGCAACGTCATCCTCACAGTCCAACTGAGCTAAACTACAAATACATTGGAAGACAAGTTTAATATCATAATAAACGACGACTACGTAAGTCAATGACACACGGAACCCTTAAAATGTGCAGATTGATTTCAGGAGTGATGATGAAGAAAATAGAGGGCGCCTATGGAGAAATGAAACAGGTTATGAGACCGTCAAAATTTGTCATGATCATGTATTGAATTGCATTCGTTAACTGGACCACGCAGTATTATAATAGCACTCCCTTGAGTAACTTTAGTCATTTATTTTCATTAAGCAACAAACGACTTCGTATAGTTTTTTTTAAATTCCTTTCAAAGTAGAAAGACACCCCGGGTATTTAGGAAAAAAAAAAAAAAAAGAAAAAAGATTCGTCTGAGCCGTCTCAAAGAACATAAATTACCAGATAATACTATAGCGAAGTAGTTAACATTCATTTCAGGTAAGCAGCTGATCGAATAATAAAGGACATTAACCTAAGCGATGCATTTGTAAAGTTTAGTTAGGCCCCATATGAATCAGATTCTAAGTAATGACGACCATTAGTAGGCTACCCACCTTAATATGAATGACAAAATAGCACATAACCGATTTGTCTAGACGAGGATAACTTAAATGTGGCTTTCTAAAATACATCTATCTTCCGTTCTAAAATTATCAAATTATTTAAAAATCTATAATATAAAAGTAATAGGCAGACGTTAGGAACGCACATTTGTTTTGCCTCTAAAGACGTCGTAGTTCAGCAAATAAACTGGGTGGCGCAACAACGGCACAGATATGCCTTTTAGGTGATAGCGCCCTCTGTTGTTATAACTTGTTTTGGCTGCAGCTACGGTCACCGGGTGTCGTTGTTATTAAACTTGGTAAAAATAATAATCATTTATTTATTTATTTATTTTTAAAATAAATAAATAAATTATTATTCTAATCTAATGGTTAATGATTGTACATTTATACCTTATAGGCCTACCCTATGCGGAAGAATAAAAATAAATGGAACTTAAAATAAGAACAATAGTTGGGTACACCGAAGATAGACACATGCCATATTATAGAAAAATGATAACATAATAATTAAAAAGAGTGATAATGATGATGATGATGATGATTATTATTATTATTATTATTATTATTATTATTATTATTATCATTATCATTATTATTATTATTTATTATTATTTTCTATAGGCCTATTCTAATCGAGTGAGCACGGGTACAGCAGTACGAGGAATACCCTCCGGTCCTAATGACATGCTTTTTTGCTACCTATCTTCCTAAGGTTAAAATCGAAGTGCGCTGATTTGAATAAACTCCACAGATAAATTTGCTCAAAATAACGTTTGCAGAAGTATGTAGGCCTACAGAAGTGCATGATAGTGCCGTCATGTAATAAATGAACAATGTTATTGCATGTATGAATACAGTTAAACATACCTGCTACTTTTAGGTGTATTATTATTTAATAGCGGGCCTAAACTTTCTGATTTTCGCTACATCACATTACCACCGTATTTCTATATTCAATATTTTAGCTTCTGTATATTTAGCCTAAAGCCTGCATTAATAAAAACATTCAGTTTCGCAGCCATGTTACGAGCTTTTAGTGCCGTTAGCTACCCCTCCTAAACCTTCATCTGCTAGTTACCCCTCCTAAACCTTCATCTACTCGGGCTATGGCCTTTAGTTAAAATCGAGTGAGCACGGGTACAGCAGTACGAGGAATACCCTCCGGTCCTAATGACATGCTTTTTTGCTACCTATCTTACTAAGGTTAAAATCGAAGTGCGCTGATTTGAATAAACTCCACAGATAAATTTGCTCAAAATAACGTTTGCAGAAGTATATAGGCCTACAGAAGTGCATGATAGTGCCGTCATGTAATAGATGAACAATTTTATTGCATGTATGAATACAGTTAAACATACCTGCTACTTTTAGGTGTATTATTATTTAATAGCGGGCCTAAACTTTCTGATTTTCGCTACATCACATTACCACCGTATTTCTATATTCAATATTTTAGCTTCTGTATATTTAGCCTAAAGCCTGCATTAATAAAAACATTCAGTTTCGCAGCCATGTTACGAGCTTTTAGTGCCGTTAGCTACCCCTCCTAAACCTTCATCTACTCGGGCTATGATCTTTAGTTAAGGCTTCGTGTCTTTTCCCCTCTCCATTCCATTTCTTTGTCATTGAGTTCATAATATGATACTGTATTTGTTTATTTTCCTTTGAAATTTGAAAAATAAATTATGAAATATGACCCGGTTATTTTTAGCCTCAGAGAATCTTATGTTTTTACAAACTGTAATAGCGCCACCTGTAGTAAAAATGAACATAGAAAGTAATCAAGTCCGCTCACTACAGAAATTCATATTGCTTTTAGTCATTCATTTCGGATGCGCAAGAGGAGGCTTGAAAGTGTCTATATTACTACATCTCTTTCAAGCAAGATTTTTAAAAAGTAAAACACTCATTAGTATCAAAACATGTTTTCGTAAAATAGCTACAGCTTATTGAATTCAAAAAATGTGAATCGGCGATGGTGGTTCATACCCCGGACGGAAGACGTTCACATCCCAGACCAGGAACGATAAATATTTGTAATACTTAATCTGAGAGAGAACACAACGGTACCAAGACGTTCCGCAGTGGAATTCATGTACCTAGAGCTGAAAGTTTTAATCATGCAAACTTTAACACTTTCTTCGGAACTGTAGTTGCTATACTTTCCACAGGAAGCTTATGAAATCAATTGTTGCTTCGTCTGCGTTTTTCTGTTAGATTTTTGAGATCTGAACAAGTTGGCGTGGTTTTACGTTTTGCAGGTGTCCACGTGTATATTGCTGTAGTTAAGTGTTCGTTTTTGTTGAGTGTTGTTTTTTTTTAAAGTAGCGGTATCTCAAAATGTCGTCAATCAAGGGATTTCACACCGCTGCCTCCATTTGGGCTAGGGCTAAAATAGACTCCTTCTTGGAGTACGATACTCCGAAGATGGTCCATATTAACAGTTGGAAAGCCGGTGCGACCAATAGGCTTATACAGTTGGGGATTATCACTTATGTAGTTGGGTAAGCTAAAAATTGAATGTATACGGATATAAGCCTTTATACTGTCTCTTATACACATCTAGATGTGTATAAGAGACAGGTAGTGCATAAAGTATATTTATATGCACAATTATAGGCCACGATCTACAGGATTGAGTATATATATATAACATAAAATTAAGTTCTTCTTATCAAATTATTGTGGGGTGTTTAGGCTGTAATGCATTTTAATCATGTTTTCCACATTTACCATTACATCCCGGTCAATCATGTGTAGAATAGTCAGAATGATTACATATTTTTCATTTACCGTATGTGATGCCAAAAAAGTGTTTCAACTAGGAAGTGCTTCTAATTCTAATGGCGACAACCCAGAAGTTCCAATTTTAATAACAATTGAAAGCATAGAATGGCAAATGTGGCTAAAAATGAAATATAGATGCCACTTAACTGACCTGTCTTAGTGGTGGAAGGATAGGCGGTTGATGTTCTAGATGTGGTTGTTGGTGCGACTGTCGTAAATGTACAGTTGAAGTCGGAAGGCTCTGTAAAAATCATAAAAATTCTATGAATTAATGTGTTAAAAAAACCCAAATTATTATTCTGACACGTTAGTAATTTTGGATTGCTTGTTTTTTCTTTAAAATTCTGTATATTTTTTGTTTAAGTGTTATTGACCTGATTGACAATAAACATATGTATAAACGGAGGATGTCGAAAGGCCTTGAGTTCGAATCACGATATACTTTTACATGCACTTCCAATTACCAAATTAATTAATTAATTATTATTATTCATCATATACCGTATTTTGCTTAATTATTAATAGCAATACTGTAATCCCAGTTCACAAAGGGCTACCGGTTTATATCGTTGTTTGTAGGCGTGAACATTTCCCAAGGTGAAAGCCTCTGTACAAGGATGTTAGTGATTCATCGGTAATAATCACCGAATCCATTGAACCCTGCAAAAGCTCTCCCGTTAGTTAGGCCTATGTATAATAATTAGGAACTAACTTTTTAATGGTCTATTTTATTTCCAATATTTGTACTGAGTAGTCCTGCAAAAAACATGCATTTACATGATTCGTACACCAAAAACCAGCACCAGCAAATTGACTTTTTTCAACTTGGGACCCCTATTAAAACAATCAGATGAGTTATAATTTTAAAATGATACACAGATCGAATACATATTTTTTTTTTGTAGATTTAGAGATCATGCACTATATAAATAAGTAACATGGATTACCATGCCATTAATTTGCATTCACATCGGATCCGAAACGAAATTTGGACCGCGTTTCCGAAGCGTTGAAAAGCCCGTGTCCCTATTTTTACAGACTGATACGATTTTCAGATTGCTTCGTTAGGCTTTCCGATCCGAAAATTCTGATTCGGTGTGAATCCACCTTTTGTGGAACTATCTGAATTAAATAGAAACGGTATCATTTATTCGTCTGTTAATTTTCTATTGAAAGTTAATTTAACCAATCGAAATATTATTAATATTTTTCCAAGTGTTACTTTAGCTCAGCAGTAAACATAAACTTTTCTTTGGAAGAACAAAGACAACACACAATACAAATAGATTACATATATATCATATGATGAGCTCTATTGTTATGATATCAAGTTTAATTTTTAATCACATTCGATTTCATTTCAATTCGTATAATTGAAGGACGCTCATGTTTCTTTGCCATCCCTGTATGTAAACATGCTACCATAGGCCTACATTGTTTACGAGATAATAGTATCCATAGAGAAAGAAGATAGTATCATAAATTTTTTTTTCAAAGTGTAACTTTCCTAAGGCGTCAACATTTCTATTATAGTCCTAATGTGTAGAATACGTTTACGGAGCAAGAATATAAATTAAAGCAGCCTACAATAAACGTCTCTGAAGAATTTTTCGGAAACATAAACTAATTGAAAAGTACAGGAATATTTCAATCTTAGATTAGATCTCTGTCAACATAATTGCTAATGTCTAGATAGAGTTTCTATACACAATGTCAATACAATAATTTATTATGTTGAGGAAAGCAACGTATTGACATTTATACACAAAACACTAACAAAGTATAAATCTTATTTAATTAATGTGTGATTTGAGGCGGAGAATCTAACGTATTTCGACATAGAGTCAGTCTTAATTCATTTAGTATATTAATTGTAGTTTAATTATTTTTATTTTATATAAATATAAATAT